GACCATGTGTCGTGTTTCATTTAATCCTCTCGGCAGCCCTGGTGGTCTCTATTAGATGGGGCATGTGTCGTGTTTCATTTAATCCTCTCGGCAGCCCTGGTGGTCTCTATTAGATGGACCATGTGTCGTGTGTCATTTAATCCTCTCGGCAGCCCTGGTGGTCTCTATTAGATGGGGCATGTGTCGTGTTTCATTTAATCCTCTCGGCAGCCCTGGTGGTCTCTATTAGATGGGCCACCATGTGTCGTGTTTCATTTAATCCTCTCGGCAGCCCTGGTGGTCTCTGTTAGATGGACCATGTGTCGTGTTTCATTTAATCCTCTCGGCAGCCCTGGTGGTCTCTATTAGATGGACCATGTGTCGTGTGTCATTTAATCCTCTCGGCAGCCCTGGTGGTCTCTATTAGATGGACCATGTGTCGTGTTTCATTTAATCCTCTCGGCAGCCCTGGTGGTCTCTATTAGATGGGGCACCATGTGTCGTGTTTCATTTAATCCTCCTCGGCAGCCCTGGTGGTCTCTATTAGATGGACCATGTGTCGTGTTTTCATTTAATCCTCTCGGCAGCCCTGGTGGTCTCTGTTAGATGGACCATGTGTCGTGTTTCATTTAATCCTCTCGGCAGCCCTGGTGGTCTCTATTAGATGGACCATGTGTCGTGTGTCATTTAATCCTCTCGGCAGCCCTGGTGGTCTCTATTAGATGGACCATGTGTCGTGTTTCATTTAATCCTCTCGGCAGCCCTGGTGGTCTCTATTAGATGGGGCACCATGTGTCGTGTGTCATTTAATCCTCTCGGCAGCCCTGGTGGTCTCTATTAGATGGGGCACCATGTGTCGTGTTTCATTTAATCCTCTCGGCAGCCCTGGTGGTCTCTATTAGATGGACCATGTGTCGTGTTTCATTTAATCCTCTCGGCAGCCCTGGTGGTCTCTGTTAGATGGACCATGTGTCGTGTTTCATTTAATCCTCTCGGCAGCCCTGGTGGTCTCTATTAGATGGACCATGTGTCGTGTGTCATTTAATCCTCTCGGCAGCCCTGGTGGTCTCTATTAGATGGACCATGTGTCGTGTTTCATTTAATCCTCTCGGCAGCCCTGGTGGTCTCTATTAGATGGGCACCATGTGTCGTGTTTCATTTAATCCTCTCGGCAGCCCTGGTGGTCTCTATTAGATGGACCATGTGTCGTGTTTCATTTAATCCTCTCGGCAGCCCTGGTGGTCTCTGTTAGATGGACCATGTGTCGTGTTTCATTTAATCCTCTCGGCAGCCCTGGTGGTCTCTATTAGATGGACCATGTGTCGTGTGTCATTTAATCCTCTCGGCAGCCCTGGTGGTCTCTATTAGATGGACCATGTGTCGTGTTTCATTTAATCCTCTCGGCAGCCCTGGTGGTCTCTATTAGATGGGGCACCATGTGTCGTGTGTCATTTAATCCTCTCGGCAGCCCTGGTGGTCTCTATTAGATGGACCATGTGTCGTGTTTCATTTAATCCTCTCGGCAGCCCTGGTGGTCTCTATTAGATGGACCATGTGTCGTGTTTCATTTAATCCTCTCGGCAGCCCTGGTGGTCTCTATTAGATGGGGCACCATGTGTCGTGTTTCATTTAATCCTCTCGGCAGCCCTGGTGGTCTCTATTAGATGGACCATGTGTCGTGTTTCATTTAATCCTCTCGGCAGCCCTGGTGGTCTCTATTAGATGGGGCATGTGTCGTGTTTCATTTAATCCTCTCGGCAGTCCTGGTGGTCTCTATTAGATGGGGGCATGTGTCGTGTGTCATTTAATCCTCTCGGCAGCCCTGGTGGTCTCTATTAGATGGGGCACCATGTGTCGTGTTTCATTTAATCCTCTCGGCAGCCCTGGTGGTCTCTATTAGATGGGACCATGTGTCGTGTTTCATTTAATCCTCTCGGCAGCCCTGGTGGTCTCTATTAGATGGGGCACCATGTGTCGTGTTTCATTTAATCCTCTCGGCAGCCATGGTGGTCTCTATTAGATGGACCATGTGTCGTGTTTCATTTAATCCTCTCGGCAGCCCTGGTGGTCTCTATTAGATGGACCATGTGTCGTGTTTCATTTAATCCTCTCGGCAGCCCTGGTGGTCTCTATTAGATGGACCATGTGTCGTGTTTCATTTAATCCTCTCGGCAGCCCTGGTGGTCTCTATTAGATGGACCATGTGTCGTGTTTCGTTTAATCCTCTCGGCAGCCCTGCAGTTAGATGTGACTAGTCACTTTACCGAGGGAGACGCTGAAGTCCGGAGGTGCTCTTGGCATGGTGAAGTGGCCTCGTTGCCTGGGGTAATACCTGTGTTTCATGTCTCATGGTCATGGATTAAAGACATGGATCCACAAAGAGTGAGGTTAAGAGCAGAAGTTTAATAGGTGAAAGAGACAGAATAGCTCTCTGTTACAGAGAGGGGTCCTGGAAAAGTAGGTTGTTGATCTGTGGTTAAGTATAGGGTGTTTTATAGATGAGTTGGTGGGAAGGTGGTGTCTGATGTACAGAGGGCATGAAAAATTGGTTAGGACCAGGTATGCCACTTGTATAGAGCATCAATTTCTGGCAACCCCCAGCCCAGGATTTTATTACATAGGTGGATTTTCAGTTGGAGTTGTGTCACGTGGCCCATTTCTTTTATACTGTGTACGTGTTAACAGAGAAGGGGAAGATGGCGCTTCCATGGTGGACACGTCCAGCCCCCAGGTAGCCCCTTCTCTATAGATGTCATTGTTGCCATCCCCCGTGTAAGTTTCTAGCTTGTTTATCTATGCCTGTAGTTTGATTTTTCTGGCTATTCTTTGTTAGGAAATAAAATAATTTCTTGGGCTGTTTTTTGTTAGAAGGGAAGTTCTGTCGAGGACTGTTTTGTCTTCACTATCTGTCTAAATAATTGCTTTCTGTCTCCTTTATCAATGGCACCACTGGGGTGGCCCGAAGCCAGGGAGCTGGGCTGGCTCGCTCACATGGCTGGAAGTTGGTGCTGATGTTGGCTGGGTCCTCAGCTGGGGCTGGTGGTCAGCACACCTGCAGAGCTTCTCCTGGAGGTCTCTTCTCGTGGATACAGGGGTGTCTTTTCTCCTCTGGAAGCTGTGTTCCGAGAGTGAACATCCTAAGGGTCAGGAACAGGAAGCTCCCAGTTCAAGGCCTGGGTCTGGAGACTGACCCTGGTTGAGCAGGTCTTTGGGCCCAGGATGAAGGGGGAGGGGATGTAGACTCTACCTCCCAGTGAGATGCTGGCCACAGGATTTTCAGGTCGTGTTTTAAAACAGCAGCCTTCAGAGATTTGGAATGCCCTCTTCTCACTTTTCTGTTGTTGAAATATTGTCCATCCTTTATAGCCCAGCTGAAATCTATCTCCTTCCTTCTCCCTCTCTTGCCTCTCAGTTGAAATTAATCATGGGCTCAGCTCTTCTGAAGCTCACCCTTGTCTGTTGCTTCCAGTCTCTACCGTTGCACGGTAAGCCAGTGGAGGGCAAGATTCAGCTAATCAATTTTGCCTGTTTGTAGGGACTGACAGAGTGCCCCTGACATAGACAACAGGCACCCTGCATATGAATGTTAAAAAATGAATAGTTGCTGTGAAGCCAAGGGGTAGAGGGATGAGAAACAGGGGTCGGGGGACAGCAGTCCCTGATTTCCCCAGGAGGCCTCCGGCTGTGTGGTTGGGTGTTGCTTTCTGTTCAGCAGTATTTGGATGTATGCTGAGCAAACATCTAGAAAGAGGAAGTACTGTTGGAGAACTCAGCAATTCAGCACTTCTCCCTCTACAGGGTTGTAAGTGTTTCTGTGGCTTTAAAGATTCTAGCCAAGGACAATAATAAATTATTATTGGGATTTTCTGAGACAGGGTCTCATTCTGTCGTGCAGACTGGAGTGCAGTGATGCGATCATGGCTGCAGCCTTGACTTCCTAGGCTTAAGTGATCCCTGTGCCTCAGGCTCCCCAGTAATTGTGATCATAGGCACATGCCACTATGCCCAGCTAAATGTTTTATTATCTGTAGAGACAGAACCTCACGATGTTAACCCGGCTGGTCTTGAACTCCTGGGCTCAAGTGATCCACCTCAGCCTCCCAAAATTCTGGGATTACAGGCTTGAGCCACCACACCCAGCCTTACATAAACAATTATTTTTATTTTTATTTTTTTGAGACAGAGTCTGTTGCCCAGGCTGGAGTGCAGTGATGTGATCATGGCTCACTGCAGCCTCAACCTCCTGGGCTCAAGTGATCCTCACACCTCAGCCTCCCAAGTAGGGACTACAAGTGTGCACTACCATGCCCAGCTAATTTTTTAATTTTTTGTAGAAATGGGGTTTCACCATGTTACCGAGGCTTGTCTTGAACTCTTGGGCTCAGCCTACCTCAGCCTCCTAGAGAATTGGGATTATAGGCCTGAGCCACTGCACCTGGCCATTAATGATTTTTAATGTAGTACAGCAAACCCGGATAAGTGGGCACGTGCTCCGTCCTGGGACTCATTGATAAGGAGGCACTCAGGAGAGTGATAATATCTCCGTCCCCTATGCCATCTAACAAGTCAAATAGGTAGCTTGGGATGGATGCAGTAGCATTTGGATATATGTTCTGGCCTGGCTTTACTAAACAATTTGCAAGGCTTCTAGGCAAAGCTAAAAGCAAAGCATATGGTGGCCACTACAAAAGTGAGGTCTGAGCCTTTGCTATGAATGTTGCCTCTCTAGCCTGTCTGGGAAGATGAGCTGTGAGCACAGCTTCCTGCGGACAAGACGAGGCCTCCGCTTTGTGAATCCCCCCCAATGCCTGGTCTCCAGCCGCATCTTTGATGTAGGCCACGGTCAGTGTCTCCCATGGCTGGTCTGGGGCCGATCGGAGAGTATTCCAGTGCCTTGGGGTGGTTTGTGTAATCCACTGGGTAGGATTGGATAGGTACGGTGGATAATTTGCTAGACTCCTTCTCCAGAAGTAGAGGTGGCCAGGACAAATCACCTTGCTTATTTTCTTCTTGTGTTTCAGAGGTTAAAGCTCGAATGCCAAGAATCCAAGGGACAAATCCCAAGGGTGCAGTCTAATTGGCGGCAGCCGAGTTCTCCTGCCATGGAATCATTCTCTCTCTTCTCCATCCACGCTGGCACTTGCTGCTTGGAATATAGCAGCTGCTTCCCAATTCTTTGTCAGACCTCTAGCCTCTCACTGCCGCTAATTCACAGGCTGCCAGGAGGTTACTCCTAAAACTTCCTTCAGTTCTTGTTACAGCTTATGTGAACTTCAGAATAAAGGGGAAGAGGGTTAGGAGAAGGAAGAAATCTCCATTCGGTGCCAGCAAACACTCTGACATCTGTATCAATGATACCACCCAATCCCGTTGCTTAAGCCCCAAACCTCACTGGGTTCTCTTTCCATCACCACCTCCCAACATCCTCTAGCAATAATAATTCCAGTACCAAAACATATTCAAATCTGCTGACATTTTCCCCTCTTTCTCACAATTAACTCCATCTTAGTTCCAAATGGCTGTGGGACTTTTGCTGTAGCCCCTTAGGACACCAGTGTTGGTTCCACACTGTAGCAGATGCTATGGTGTGTAGCCCAGACCCCACTTCACAAGGGGACACTCATGCCTCCAGCCATGGGGAGTGTTGACTGCTGTTGCTTCATGGCTGTGTCCTTCCATTGCCTAAAAAATGCTGCCGTGCCCAAGGTTATGCCCCCTTCCTGGAGGCAGCTTACATCCCATGATTGATTGATTTGGGGATACAAAGGATGGCCCTCCTTGTCTCAGTTTGGGACAACCCTGAAGGCCCTTCCCAGCTTTAAGCTCCCTGTGGGGTCCACTGAGGCCCTTGTAAGCACCCGCATCACGATTCAGCTTCACGATGTAGCTTTTCCTGCCTGGTCTCATTTTTGCCACTTCCTCGTTGGTGTCATTGCCAAGAGCACTCTCCAGTAAACTCTTGTGCTGCCCCCCCTCAGCTGTGTAGCAACCCTGAGTGGCTTCTAGCAGTGACATCCAGCCAGCAGAATTCCATCCCCTTGCCACAGTTATTGGCCAGGAAGAGGTTTGTCACCACAATAGCCACTAAGCCAAGTGGCCAGTGGCATTCACATGGACACAGTGATTGTTCCAGGGTAAGCATGTGACATATATTAAACCAATCAGAGTGAAGCTCTGGACTTTGGTCAGCGGCTGGGAGAAGAGTTGCATTTGCTTGTGTAGAAGCATGGAGCCCTGTTTTCCCTGCAAACCACCCGGCAAGACGAGGAAAACTCACATGAGGATGAAGCTGAAGGGGGCAGAGCTGAAACAGTCATGGAGAAATGGAGCCAATCCCTGATCAGTGTCTGAAGACTGCCGTTCAGCTGGACTTTCCAGTTATTGGAATATGAACTCATTTTTATTGTTTGAGCAAATTTGATTTGGGTTTCTATTTTCGCTATTTTCACTCTCCGTATCTGTGGCGGTTAATACTGAGTGTCAGCATGATTGGATTGAAGGATGCAAAGTTTTGATCCTGGGTGTGCCTGTGAGGGTGTTGCCTAAGGAGAGTCACAGTGGAGTCAGTGGATGGGAAAAGGCAGACCCGCCCTTCATCTGGGTGGGCACCATCTAATCAGCTGCCAGTGTAGCTAGAATATAGAACAAGTAGAAAAGCGTGAAAAGGCTAGACTGGCTGAGCCTCCCAGCCTTCATCTTTCTCCCAGAATCCACCAGGCTGGATTCTTCCTGCCCTCGAACATTGGACGCCAAGTTCTTCCGTTTGGGGACTCAGACTGTCTCTTCTTGCTCTTCAGCTTGCAGATGGCCTATTGTGGGACCTTGTGATTGTGTGACTTAATAAACTCCCCTTTACATATATATCTATCTATCTCCTATTAGTTCTGTCCCTCTAGAGTACCCTGACTAATACGGTATCTTAAAATTCTTTTTTTCACAAAGTAGAGTCTTATGGATTCTTGAAAAAGTTTAAATTAGTTCATACTCCTCTCCCCTACTTAAAACTCTCCAATGGGCTACAGAAGAAAAATAGACAATTTGGAATTCATCAAATTAAAACCTTCTGTGCTTCAAAGGGCACTATCATGAAAGTGACAACCCACAGCGTGGGATAAAACATCTGCAATGATGTCTCTGGTAATGAACTTGTATCTAGAATGTCTAAGGAATGATTACAACTCAATAATAAAAAGACAAAAGATCCAATTTAAACATGAGCAAAGGATCCGAGTAGACATTTCTCCAAGGAAGACATACAAATGGCCAATAAGTACATGAAAAGATGCTCAACGTCATCAGTTATCAGAGAAATGTCCATCAAAACCACAATGAGAAATAACTTCATACCCACTAGCAAGGCTAGAATCGAAGGCAGAGGATAACGAGTGTTGGTGAAGATGAAGAGACACTGGAACCCTCCTGCACCGGCCGTTGGGAATGTGAAATGGCTCGACCGCTTTGGAGAACAGTCTGTTAGCTCCTCAGACCATTCAACAGTTACCATGTGATCCAGAAATTCCACTCCTAGGCATCTACCCAGGAAAAATGAAAACACATGTCCATACAAAACACGTACAGGAATGTTTTGGCAGCATTATTCATCATAATCAAAAGGCTGAAATAAATGTTCATCGGGCTGGGCGCGGTGGCTCACGCCTGTAATCCCAGCACTTTGGGAGGCCGAGGCGGGTAGATCACGAGGTCAAGAGATTGAGACCATCCAGGTCAACATGGTGAAACCCCGTCTCTACTAAAAATACAAAAAATTAGCTGGACACAGTGGTGCGTGCCTGTAATCCCAGCTACTCGGGAGGCTGAGGCAGGAGAATTGCCTGAGCCCAGGAGACGGGGAGGTTGCGATGAGCCGAGATTGCGCCATTGCACTCCAGCCTGGGTAACAAGAGCGAAACTCCGTCTCAAAAAAAAATAAAAAATAAATGTTCATCCCATGACGAATGGATAAACAACATATGTCATGTCTATGCAATGGAAATATTATTCAGCCATTGAGAGGAATGAAGCACAGTGGCATGCCCTGATAGGGACTGGCTGTGATGACATATGCTGAGTGGAAGAAGCCAGACACCAGAAAACCACATACGTGTTTACTTTCATATCCAAGTTGGGAACAAGGAAATCTATAGAAACAGAAAGTAGGTTTGTGCCTGTCTAGGGCTGGGAGTTGGGAGGGGTGTTTGCGTATATCTGTAAATTTACTAAAAACCATCAAATAATAACTTTTTTTTTTCAAGACAGGATTTTGCTCTTGTCACCCAGGCTGGAGTACAATGGCGTGATCTTGGCTCACTGCAACCTCCGCCTCCCAGGTTCAAGTGATTCTCTTGCCTCAGCCTCCTGGGTAGCTGGAATTAAAGGTGTGCGCCACCACACCTGGCTAATTTTTGCATTTTTAGTAGAGACGGGGTTTTGCCATGTTGGCCAGGCTGGTCTCGAATCCCTGACCTCAGATGATCTGTTTGCCTCAGCCTCCCAAAGTGCTGGGATTATAGGTGTGAGCTGCCATGCCTGGAAGAATTATATGCTTAATTGGTTGAATCGTATGGTGTGTAGATTATATCTCAATAAAGCCGTTAAACAAAGAAACAGAACCGTCCCAGTGGCTTCTCACAAGACAGAAGAAAAATTTGCCCTCCTGAGCAGACTTTTAAGATCCTGCCTTTGACGTCACCTCAAAACCTCCTCCCTCCCTCTTTGCCTCCTTCCATGGCGGTATTCTTCCAGCTCCTCAGACAGAACAGGCTGGTTCCTGCCTCGGGACCTCGGCATGACCTGCTGGCCTGTCGCTGCAGCCTCAGGTTATGTAGCACCTCCTCAGGCTCTTCTCAGACCAGGCCATCTAAAGTGGGAGTGTCCCCCCAATGAGCAGTCCATCAAACTCAGTGTTTAGTTTTTCCACAGAACTGATCATAATTTATAAATATCTGATTTATTTATTTATTTTTGAGCTGGAGTCTCACTCGGTTGCCCAAGCACGATCTCAGTTAACTGCAATCTCTGTCTCCTGGGTTCAGGGGATTTCCTGCTTCAGCCTCTTGAGTAGCTGGGACTACAGTTATTTACCATGCCTGGCTAATTTTTGTATTTTTAGTAGAGATGGGATTTCAGTATGTTGGCCAGGCAGGTCTCAAAGTTCTGACCTCAGGTAATCCACCCTCCTCGGCCTCCCAAAGTGCTGGGATTACAGTTATGAGCCACTGCATCCGGCCTTATTTACATGTTTATTTGTTTATCATCTGTCGTCACTAGAATGAAGACTCCATGAGGGAAAGAGGAAAATCGTCCTTTGTGCTGGCGAAATCTGTCTACAACAGTGTCAGGCACATATTGATAAAGTTGAGTGATTAAAAATTTAATGAAAGTATAGGTTTTGATAAGAAACATAAGGGCCTGGTGCTGTGGCTCACACCTGTAATCCCAGCACTTAGGGAGGCTGAGGTGAGCAGATCACTTGAGGCCAGGAGTTCAAGGCCAGCCTGGCCAACATGGTGAAACCCTGTCTCTACTAAAAATACAGAAATTAGTGGGGTATGGAGGCACACGCCTATAATCCCAGCTACTCGGGAGGCTGAGGCAGAATTGCTTGGATCTGGGAGGGCGGAGGTTGCAATGAGCCAAGATCGAGCCACTGCACTCCAGCCTGGGTGACAGTGTAAGACTCAGTCTCAAAAAAAAAAAAAAAAAAAGTGGCTCACTCCTGTAATCCCAGCACTTTGGGGGGCCAAGGCAGGTGGATCATGAGGTCAGGAGATCGAGACCATCCTGGCTAACACGATAAAACCCCATCTCTACTAAAAATACAAAGAATTAGCTGGTGTGGTGGCGAGCACCTGTAGACTCACCTACTAGGAAGGCTGAAGCAGGAGAATTACTTGAACCCCAGAGGCAGAGGTTGCAGTGAGCTGAGATCATGCCACTGCACTCCAGCCTGGGCGACAGAGCAAGACTTTCTCTCAAAAAAAAAAAAAAAGAAAAAAAGAAAAAAACCACAAAACTTTTTTTCTTGCAATTCTTTGGAAGTAGAGTAAAAAAACAATGTGGTTTAATTTTTTTATTTTAATTTTTTAATGCAATGTAATAAAATTAATAGACTTTATTGTTTAGAGCAGTTTTAGGTGCACGACAAAATTGAGGAGGACAGTGATTCCCCATAAAATCCCTCCCGCTGCCACACACACAGCCTCCCCTGCCCAGCATCCCACCCCACAGCCGCAGGGCTGTCACATGACCGGGCATTGGCACCTCCTTATCCCCCAGAGCCCACAGTTACACTTACAGGGCTCACGCTTGGTGTTGTGTGTTCTGTGGGTATGGACAGAGGGATGGTGACATGCGTCCACCCTTCTAGTAGCAGACACAGTAGTTTCACTGTCCTGAAAGTCCTCTGTGCTCCCACTGTTCATCCCAACCTACCCCTAATTTGCTTTATTTGTATATCATTTTTTCTGGGTTCAGGTAATTCTCCTGCCTCAGCCTCCGGAATTTTTTGTATTTTAGGTAGAGACGGGATTTCACCATGTTGACGAGGATGGTCTCGATCTCTTGACCTCGTGATCCACCCGCCTCGGCCTCCCAAAGTGCTGGGATTATAGGCGTGAGCCACCGCACCCGGCCTGTATATCATTTTTTCAATTAAAATGTATCAGAAATTCACTGGGCAGGGAAGAGTTTCAGAGGGTGAGGAAGAGAAAGAAAAAATGCCACTGCACTGTGGCATTTCCCCTTTAAGAAGTGCAGAGGTCAAGGGCATGGACACAGGCTGAAGCACCTGGTTCCAGCAGGGCAGGCGCCCCCTCCGCCCAGGCCGATGACCCTGAGACCAGAGGAGTGCGAGGGTCTGTCTCCTACCCTCCCTGCACCACAAGGGCCCAGGGCGCTCTTCTGCCCATGCAGACAGCTGCTGGGACGAGGGGGCAGCACAATGCCAGGCTCCTGCTAGCCTGTGCCAGGCAGGTGACACCTGGCATGGCTCAGCCTTGCTGTCTCAGTTTCCCCTACCAGCCCTCTTTGGATCACGTCTGATTCTTCTGAGGACAGGGACTGGGAATAAAACACCTCTGAGAATGTGGGGCACAAATGTGTGACACTAGGAAACTCCTGCTTTGGAGGGGCACAAAGCAATATGAGCCCTGGCTCTGGCCCCGTGGGGGCTGCGGAGCGATTCTGCAGCACTGGGTCACAAGCACATGGATGTGTCCAGAAATTCCCAGGGGCACGCAGGGAGCCTCGGATGCACGAGCCATAAAGCAGAGCTTCCTCCTTGCCTAAGGTGCCTGCTTCATTCTCTCCTGGATGCTGGTGTGGTCTGGGGACAGCTGATGTATCATCGCGTTCACAGTGTTATCCCCCAACCCCGTCTTCAGTGACCCAGGCCACCCTCTCTCCTGGGGTGGTCTCCAGGCAGTTTCCAGGGTGGCATTGGCAGGTCTTTGTACCCTTCTCATTCCCCAAAAGAGAATCCGTTTTCCCGGTGTTGTGGAAAGTGGGATATCTGGCAAGAGCTTTTGGAGAGGCTCTGGGCTGGGACAAGGGTTTGTGTTCTGCCCACCCCCTCAGCTGCTTGTTCCCCTGACGTCTCTCTTCTGGCCACTCATACCCAGAACCCTGGCTCATGGACACCTCCCGCACCCAGGCAGCTCCCAGCACTGCTGGCTCCTTCAGCCTCACAGCCCTGTCCCGTTGTCTCTAGGTTGAGCAGGGGGGCTCTGCCTGCCTCTCCAGGCTCTCCTCCTCCTTCCATTGCCTGCTGTTGCCAGTAATTTGGCCAAAAGCCATAGTAACCAAGGGTGTCGACTGTATGCTCTCCAAACAAAAGCTCCTGTCCTTCCCAGGAACTGCCCTGTTAGAGGGCCCGGGGCGGGGCTGATTAGAAACCATTGTTCTGCCTTTCACTCAATCATTCCCCAAATCCTGCCAAATTTGAAACCTAAGTGGCGTTTTCTCTTCTCCTGCCACACAAATCCTAGTTTAGGTTCCAGAATCTCTGGCCTGGGCTATTGCAACAGCCTCTTTTTTAAAGAAATTATTTTTATTTTTTGTGGGTACATAGTAGGTTTACATATTGACAGGATACATATTCAATTTTGAATCTCATTTGGAGGTGAGCTCCGAAGTCCAGCCCTGGATTCCTCTGACGATGAGAAGTTGGGTTAAACAGTCCCTCTGACCTGAAAACGGCACAAATCAAATCTGAGCAGCTCTGTGGCTGCACTGATGTCCACAGGCCTTCAGGGAGGCGGCAGGGCTGGTCCTCTGTGCTCCTGCCATGCCCAGGTGCTTCGAGCTTCAAGCATCTTGCCCGGAAGCCTTAGCTCTCTGACTGTCTTTGCCTAGGATGCCTCTCTCTCTCCCTCCATGGCTGACACTCATCCCTTAAGCCATGCCAGCCCTTCTAGGAGCTTCTTCACCCAAGGCCCCAGGGAGGTGAAGGGGCTGCTCCTGTTCCACGCCGCCTCCCTGCCCCTAAGTGTAGACAGGGTGGGTGTCTGTGTCTGTCCCTCCAGTGTCTGTGCACTGCTTGAAGACAGGGGCCAGGACTGGGTGGTGTCCCAGCTCCTAGCACGGCCTGGGAAAATGAATGAATGAATGTTGGAATGAGTGAACACATCCGTGAATGAAGTGCTGGGACCTTGGTGCCTGTCAGTTCTCCGTTTGTTTTGGTGGGATGCTTGTGTTTGCACTGCTAGAACTTGGTGACTTTGCAAGCCTGCCCAGTTCTGGCAAGAGGGTCAAGGTTCTCTTGGGCACCTCTTCCTGGAGACACGGCTGTGGGGCGGGAGTGCGTCCACAGGGACACAGGGTGGCGCCCAGAGCCTTTGCTGGAGCGGCAGGACCTTTCCTCTCTGGCAGCCCGGGGAGCGCAGCCAAGGGTCCAAAGAGACTTCCAAGTTGTTTTCTGGAGCTCACTCTCTAAAACACAAAATCCAAAACCCAGTCCTTGGGGGCAGAGCAGTTTTTAAGAAGATACCTAGGTCTTCAGATAAAGCGAAAAATTAGTTCAAGGAACTATGCAGAATGTGGCCTCAGACTTAGAACTGAGCTGCCCCTCCAGGCCCTTGGGTCTCCCATGCATGGGTATGGCTGTGCCCCTGGACACATGGGGACTCCAC